ATATGGTATTAACACAAGGAGCATATAGAGAATGCTGAGCAAAGCGTATTAAAAAAAATTAATGGAACACAGAATGTACGGTATTTTTTCTGCCTTAATTAGAGTAGTAATTTATAGGTATAATGTATGTTAAATTGCAATGCAGACTGCAAAATAATTACTTGATAAACACTGGTTGCAAACAACCCATTTCTCTATCAGCAGAGGTAGAAAATGATGACATATTTTTCTGTTGGTTCATTGTCAGCTCTGTTCAGCTGAAAAATATTTTTTGGAGGTTGTGAATAAATATCCCTTAGTGTTTCCAAACAGGACATCTAACACCAGTGTTTTAGACAGCCATAGACAGTCTTCAGGAGAAACAGTCTGAGTAATGAAAGGAAATGGAGCTGAATGAGAGAATTGATGTTGCAGACTAGGTTGTATCACATTTAGGTGTGTGACTGCTCAGAAGTCACTTAGTCTCTTGGAGCCTCCATTTTTATATTGAAAGATTGGAATAATGGATGTCTTAATCACACATGATTCGATGAGATCGGGCGTGTTCAGGGTGGTATGGCCATAGACAAACAAGATTATACTGTATAGCACAGGGAAATATATACAAGATATTATGGTAGCTCACGGAGAAGAAAAGGTGAGAATGAATATAAATATATCTTCATGTATAACTGAAAAATTGTGCTCTACACTGGAATTTGACACATCCATCCGCCTGACCCTTCATCCTTTAATTTAACACAAATGCATAATTGCCATAATTGTATGCATAATTGTCAGTGCAGGGCAAATTGTTCAGATACAGCTGTTGATCAGCTCACAGTTTCTTCAACACTTAGCAGATCACCAGAGAGAGACTAAGAAATTGTAGATGGAGATTCTTCTCCTTGTACCTACAGCAGATTATGGTCAGCAACCATAGAAGAAAATTTTTCCTGATTTTGACAAGTCATTGTGCCATTCATGGCATGATTTTTACAGTCTTCATTACTGAATAATTACAAACAGAAGTCTAAATAGGAGAACCCAGGAGCACAAAACAGGGTGTTAGCAGTGGAGTTGGACGGAATTGGTTAGTGGGAGATATATTTTAGATATGTTTTAAACAAAATTGATACAATTCACTGAAGGATTAGATGATTTCTGATTTGAATGAGTGAGTGACTTGTGATGTCATCTCCTGAAATGGAGAAGACAGCATTGGGTTGGGGAAGGCAGAGATTTAAAAAAAATCAGTTTGTATTATGTTACATTTGAATTGCCTATAAGATATAAAAGAGACTGTCCAGAGCTGAGAAGAAGGGTGAGGTCTGCATACATGATTTCAGGAACACTCTCCACATAGAAGGTACATAAAGCCAGGGAAATGGATGAGATTGCCATAGAAGAGAGTTTAGCGAGAGGACAGAGCAAAGGGAGGAAAGGAGAAAGGGAAAAGAGAAAAGGAAAAGGAAGGAAAGAAGAGTGGCTGTGAGTAGAATATGGTCTCTTTACATCAGATGAGAACCCTTATTCATGTTATCCAGTCCTTCTGATCATTCAGAGCCCAGAAATAATTATTTAAGTAGATGAACAAAATTAATCAGTTGATCAAACTGTGACTATAAAATCGATTTCAACTCTGTCCTTCAATATACATTATAATAATTGGATGACTCATTAATAGACAAAAAATATTTAAATGCATGTTTTATACATACACAGTGTTACATGTGTAAGAGTAACTTCAAAGTTTTCCAGCATCTGTATTTTAATGGTCCATTAAAGCATTCATCAAGAGAATGAAGTCATTGGGTCTTCAATGTTTCATGCCTTGTATAGTTCACTTGAGGCTTAGATTAATTTCATTTTTATGTGCCTTTTTCGGTTCACATATTTCTGCAATTCATTTAATCAAGCTGGTTTTTCATGAAGCAAAACTAAGTTGTAAAGTACAAAACCACAAAGTAAGTTTAAAATTTAACTAGATGGACTAAGACTGAAAATATTATCTTTGGTAAACTTTTCAGTGACTTTTTATGTCAGAAAGAAGAATGCACTCTGAGACCTTGCTGTTACAGGAAGGGACCTATGTTCTCACATAAAGAACTTTGAAAGGAGAAATAGAAAGTATGATGATCTGAATTTGGCTACTATATAATAATTTGGTTATATAGTTTTTCCCATAACATTAATACATTAGGACAGGGAAGACGTCAGGATTCTGGAAATCATCTTCATTAGTTGTCCCTCTTATCCAATGGACATTAAACTGATAAAATCTTCTCTACACATACCTTGTGTACCTGTTTAGTCCTTTCCACCTCTATTGGTGCTTCCCCAGTTCAGACAACATCATTTCCCTGGAATGAACTTTCTTCTTATTTAGGCACCTGCTCTGGTCCTGATCCTTCAGTTCATCCTTCCCTCAGCTGCCAAGACTTCCCTACCAGTTGCCCCACTGCCACAGCTACCCTAGCACTAGCTCCGTGTGTATCATGCCTGTGTTACTGCCACAGCATCCTCCTAACAAGTCTTGCTCTTCTATTTCTGTGTATGATTGATCACATGCTCCCACTGCTTAAAACCCTGCAGGGTTCTTATTTCAGTTGTAATAAAATCTAGACTCTTTACTATAGCCTTTATGAACTGGCCTCTGCCTATGCCTCTGACCTCATCTCCTTCAAATTTTCTTTGATTCAAAATCACTACCATGTGGCTAATTTCTAAGCTACAAACTGCCAATCCCTTGCCATCTCAGAACATTTGCTTTATTTCCTCTTCACATGTCTTTCAAGTGGCCTTTTCTCATCAATCTGGTCTCAGTTCAAATGACCTTCTTAAGAGGACTTCTCTGACTACCCAAATTTTCTCCCCTTTGCACTCTCCATCTTAATAGTATATGCAAACTTCTTGATGGAATTCGGTTAATTCCTGAAATGGTCTTGGATAATCATGTGAGCTCTGGACTCAGTCTACTAGGCTGCAAACATTGGCCTTTTTGACCTACTAGCTTCTACCTGGGCAAATTATTTAATCTTCATTTCTTTTCCTAATATGGGATAGTAATACTTCATAAGATTGTTACAACATTTAAGTGATTTGAACCTAAAGTTCATAGAATTGTACCTGGCTAGTTATTGTTATTGTAGGTATAGTAGAATCAATACTAAAATATATCTCTTGAAATGCAGATCTGTTTAGTTTGTCCACTTCTGTAACTACGACTTCTAGAACATAGTCTGGTACTCAATAGATGTTCAAAAAATGCACGACATTGTTACCTGACTAGTGACCTGGCAAAAGACAGCTCTGATTAAAGAAATTCAAATTCCAAATGTTTTTAAACAATGTTGAAAAATGCACTTTACCATTCTGCCTTTGGCTCTAGTTGAAAGTTCCAAAATATCACATAATCTACCCTTGAACAGAAGATTTCAGTCACTGAGAAATGGATATAGATCTCAAGTCCTATAAAGGAGAATCGGCAAGAAGCAGATCACAGAGGAACTTGACCTCCAGCCATAATGTTGATATTAGGGACAAAACCACCAGATCCAGATAAAAATTAGGAGTATTAGCCAGGTTACCTTGGTAATAACTGAGGAGAAGCCTCCTGGAAGTAAACCTTGAATATAAAGGGAACAAACTCAGGCAGTTTCCTGGGATGGAAATGGATCTGATGCTAAATTACTTGTGGTACCAATTCCATTATATTGCAGAGGGTAGGTTCCCACACAGCACCAAGCAATTCTTGGGAGACTAGCTACATGTCCTACAATTCAAGTTAATTCTGACACTACCTGGAGATAGCATCAGATTCCATAGGTTAAGAGCTCAGCCATAACAGGCTGCTGGCTCACTGCACCCACCTCTCGGTCTCCATCAGATGCCAGCAGCAACCCAGGTTGTTACCTGTACTTCTAATTCACGAGCCATAAATCAGAGATTCCCACCACCTCCTTTTTGGATTCGATTTATTTGCAGAGCTCAGACAAACAATTTACTTACTATATCATCATTTATTATAAAAGAATGTAACTCAGGAACAGTCAGATGGAAGAGATGCATAGGGCCAGGTGTGGGAGACAGTGAGGGGATGCCATGCCCTCTCCACGGGGGTGCTACTCTTCCAGCAAATCTGCATGTTCACCAATCCAGAAGCTCTCCAAACCCCGTCCTTCAGGGTTTTATGAAGGTTTCATTACATAGTCACAGTTGAGTAAATCATCGGCAATTGGCAGTTGATTTAACATCCGGGTCCTCTTCCCTCCTCAAAGGTTGGGGGTGGGACTGAAAGTTTCAACCCTCCAATCGCCTTATTGGCTCCATTGGCAACAATACCCCATCCTTAGAAGAAGTGCAAAAATCACCTTGTTAACATACCAAGGGACAGCTTTGTCACTCTCAACACTTAGAAAGTTCCAAGGATCCATGGACAAAGACCAAATATATATGAGAAATATGTTTTGGTCATCTGAATAACCAAATATATATTTTTTCTTATAAGTCACAATATCACAGATGCCTTCCAGTGGTCAAGATTGGCTGGAAAATGGGACAGAACGTGCCCTTTAAGTAAGGAGCTCTCCTAGATCACATTAGTGTGTCCATCTTGGGCTGCAATGGAGAAGTAAGAAGCAGGGGGAAAAATCAGAGGTACGTCGTGAATAGTCTTCCTAAATGCTGTTTCTGTAACACTCATTTTCGAATTGTTCCTAAGATTGTCTAGGGTAAATATGGCCATGAAGTGGAAGGAGTGTTAAGGCCTCTCACTTTTCATTGTTGACCTCAAATAAATATTTTAAATCAGAGGTTAATGGCATATTAGTCACACAAGGAAACTGAATCTACCATTCACTTTATCAAATTGTTTGTCTCTAAATGGTTCACTGTGTTCGCTGTGTTTGTACCCTTTAACAAGTGTTGGAAGGTACTGTACTGTGTTGGTTTTTGGCAGGCTGTTTTTTTTTTTTTTTTTTTGGCTGCGGCATCTGTTCAGAGTGTCAGAGTACAAATTTAGAAACTTGTATATGGAGAAAGCAAGTCATCTTTTCATGAGCTGATTTGTTAAAAATTTCTCAAGGAAAGCTACGTTGTTGGAGGATCTTGCAGCATAAAATAATATAAAGGTATGTGTCTGATCCTTCTAAAGAATTTGGCATTGAAACAAAATATGAAGCTGGGTTATGTAAGGGCTCTAATGCCAATTGTCACATTACATGGCGATTTGCATGTTCTGAACACTTAGTGTATTCTCCAGTAAAGTTACTCTCTATGCTTTATAGTAACATATTTTTATGGACTGAGAAAGTTATGCTATTAAATTTTAAATTCTGTACATTACAAGCTGCTAAAAGATTTAACACTCTCCTAGCCTTGATTTTTAGTTTACAGAATTCACAGCTACTTTTATATACATTACTAATGAAAAATCTTAATTTATTATATCAGATGTTTGAATCACTGCATCTAATTTTAGAAAAGCTTTCTGTATTTCCCCTGAGCTGAAAAAATTTGATATATTTGATAATTGTTACTTGACTATTTCTGATTAATAAGGCCCCTAGAACTAGGGACATTTATGCAATTTCATTTGAAATTTATTATGAGTTATATTCTATAGATTATTATAACTATATGAATTACTTTTAGTGATTTTTAAATTCACTCTTTTGAAATAGAAAGTTTTTCAAAGGAAAATAAAGGCTAAAATGTTGAGTTGAAAACCACATTTGTCCAATTGAGAAGAGTCTTTACTCCAACCCCTAATTTTCATCCAAAGAGCTACTATTACCCACCTTACTATTACTTTCTTCCCCCATCTGTTCCTCCTCTCAAGTCTTTCTTCTTCCCTCTAATCTTCTAGCCATTAGGTCTGAATCAAGGCCCTGCACTCCTCTTCATTCTCAGAAGTGAGTAGATACAATGTAGAGAGTGTATGCAAAGACAGAGTCCATTCCTTTAGCCAAGTTAAGTCTTTCTTCCTCTGACTCAGCAGAAGCCCAAGTGCAGCAGACAGGGCAAGACAAAAGGAAAATGCTCTAACCACCTTTCAGGAAATAGAAAGAAGAACTAGGAGATTAATTTTTAGGGTTTGTCTTGTTTTAGGGAACAGAGAGGATGTTAGCTCCCTTTAAAGCTGTAGGAAAAATCAAACTCAAATTGTATGATTATTATTAGCCATTTGCTTTTTGGCTTTGCAACAAATGTGTGTGTGTGTGTGTGTGTGCACACGTGCTCGTGTCCTTAAAGTGAGGAACTAACCTTGTTTAAGAGAAAACCTTCTAGATGTATACTAACTTTTAAACTTTCTCTTAAACTGCTGAGAATGAGGTATTAGGTGAAGAATGTTTTTCAGATCAATTAAAGTCAAGTTTGTCAAAGTCACAGTCCTAGTGAATGAAAATTTCAGAAAAGTTAATTGAAGATATAGGTTTTATAAATGACTTTCTGCCATACATTTCTACACCCTTTCCCCATTCAAAGAATATTTTGTTCTCTAACAGGAATCCAGCCATAATCACATTATCTATTAATTCTTGTAATATCTAAAAAGAAGTTTTATGGACTCACTCTTATTTTTCAGGATGTCCAACTTGGGACAGTTTGACACTGACTTTTACCAATCTAACTATACCATTGATAATCAGGAGCAGAACTGCAATGATTCCAATGCCTATGAAAATTTTTATGGATCTAGAAAGTAAGTACTTGATATTGAGAAAATATGTTCTCATTTTAAGAAGTCATCATATTTGGTAGGGGGTTTCAGGTAGGGAGGTTTCCTTGGGGGAAGCAAAACCTCTCCCCATTATATCTTAGTAAAGTGCTTAAGAAGAAATGTCAGGAAAGGGCAGAGAAATGAATTCAGTTCTCCATGAATACCCTTGATCGCCTCAGGCCCATTTATAGGTGAACAAATTGTCTTCCCTTTTCAAAATATCACTTAACAGGGAGCATGAATACAGGCCCTGGACAAACAGAAAACACTTTCCTTTTACCTGATATTTTCCAGGACACACTCAAGAAATAGATTTTATTCAGTTTAAAAAATATCTATCAAGGGCCTGCTCGTGTGTCAGGAATTAAGAAAGGTGCTATCAACCCAAAGATAAAGAAGAAATCTCCAATCTTTTCCCTCACAAAATTAAAAAATTTATGTTGGAGAGGGGTGCAATTAAGTCACCAACATAATTCAGAATGTGTTAGTTATTTGAGTTGACAGTTCAAGTTGAGTTGAAAATAAATTAAAAAATGATTGAGAATTTAGCATTTACCCTTAACTAGTGCCCCAAATAAGGTAGCTCGAGTAAGAAGAATTTGGTGCAAGTTCTGGCTCTCATATTTGATTTTTTGTGGCATTAAGAAAGACAACTTCCCTTGACTGAGTGTCTTCCGCTGAGAAATAAGAACCTCAGTAATGCCTACTTTGTGGGAACTGTCCGAAGAATTGTGAGAATGTGTGGGAAAGTGTGTGTTAAAGTAAAGCTATTATGTAAATGTTATTTTTTCGTATAATTATAGCTTGCAGAAGCCATGGACAGTTTGTTGTCTAGTCACTTACACTTACTGTATTTGGTTAGACATTCGTTTCTTTGGGTATTCTTTTCTGGGTTTAGACTAATGAACTGGGAAAAGGGTCAGACCTTACGAATTTCATAATAACTAACATTTATCGAGTTCTTACTATGTGTTAGGTACTCTTCTGAGCTTTTTGTAAATTAACTCATTAGATCATCGGACAACCTGGAGATGTATATTATTACTATCCCTATTTTACACATGAGAAAGCAGGGACCCAGAGAAATTAAGGAAATTTTCCAAGGTCACCAGCTAGTAAAAAGTGGGTTTAAGATAATTAGACCTAAAACTGGAGTGGGCATATAATTTATTGTAAAGTCAAGACGTTTTTCAGAGTAAAATGTGTGCTGTTAATAACAATGTTGGTACAGTAAGAATAAACTGCCTCCTCGTAGGCAAACTGGGATGTGGTTACTGTGCCATTCTAACAAGTTTAAGGCAAATAATCACATAATAAATATCTCAAATTTATTAATTCTTGAAGTTTATTTTTCAAACACATGTAAGTACCTTGAAATCCTCAGAAGGAGGGAAAGACAGAATAAATACAAACATAGTGGGGACTCTTCTGTTCCAACTTTGCCCAGGACAGCATGGACACTGTTTTCACTGGCTGGTCACCCCTACAGATACAGGCAGGTCGGTGTGTTTTCACAAGCCTGGTCTTAGCGACTCCTGCTGACCGGCTGCTCTAAGGCGATGGGGAAAGGTATTGGTACATAATGTTTTTAAAACTGTAGAACCTAAATATCTGAAATTTTACCTCATTCATGCCCCTAGCCTTTGCTTTCTAGCATTAAAAAACAACCCAAACCTTTATCTATCTATCTGAATATTATCACCAGGCAGAGTAAATGTGTTTAAAATATTTATATGAAAATTTGGAGGGAAGGATTAGGCTGTAGAGAATTGGCTCAATCATTGCAGAATCCAACAACAGAAAAGGAACTTACTTTTTCACTTATGATTTACAATTTGGAAGGCCAAGAGAAAGCAGAGAAGTGTGTGATGGCACAGGGAGTAGTTTGAGCATGAAGGTATTAGAGGACAGTGACTCAAAATACAGAATCCACATGCGAGCTACCTCACAGGCCTTTATCCAGCTCTGTTCTTCTCCTGTTTTACTGAAAGAAAGCAGTCACCTTCTGTTTCTTTTCTTCCTTCTCTTTTCCAGATGGAATACCTGAGTAGCATCTGCAACCTATATTTTCAGACTAAACTAAACTAAAAAGTCCAATAAGACAGGGACAAAAGGTTTCTCCCTTAAGCAGAGACTCACAGACCACAGCCTTCTCCCCCACCCCACTTTACCCAATTTTCTTTTTCCATCTGATTGCATGTATCAATGTTGCCCAGAAACTGCAATGACAAAGAGGTGGAAATTAATATAGCCAAATGAGGAAAAGTTATGATTATCTTATGTCAGGTTATGGCCTAGCCTACTTCAGATGCTTAGCATTTAAGTTCAAGTCCTGATTTGGATGTGGTAACATTTAAATTCCAACCCACACTGCCAGTCTCAGGAATTAGGAAGGGCATGTTAGCTGTGGTAGCTTTATGAGGTACATAAAACACAGAGTCAGGTCACTGGTTTACTAGTGTACATCAAATAACTTGAGAGATTTGATCTTTTAATCATACAGGGCATAGTTCAATTAAAATATAGCCCAAATAAGAATAAGACACTGATCATACTGGCAAAAGACATAGGAATCCAGTAGAGAATTTTAATCAATTAATCTCGGTCCTTAATTGATTAAATCTTTAAAGATTAAATCTTTGATTGATTAGTTATAATCAATTAGTCTCCCTGCCCTTGCTCCATCCCCCTCATACCCCCTCCATATGAGAACTTGTTTTAAAAAACTTGTTCTGCTCAGTGAATAGCATTGTGATCTGAAAGCTGGTTGAGTGGGCTTACTAATGAAGATATTTATGTTTAAAACATAATACAATGAAGATATTTATGTTTAAAAACAAATTTTCTAATAGAATGAGCAAGAGTGGGCTTACTAATGAAGATATTTATGTTTAAAACATAATACAATGAAGATATTTATGTTTAAAAACAAATTTTCTAATAGAATGAGCAAGAAGGAATTTTGTCATTAAAAAAACTTAATTATCCAGTCATTCTGATAGCCACTCTTTCCAATACCTGCAGCCAGTTATCTAGGCTACATTTTCCCACTATATTTTTCCAATTTTTGAAGTGAGAAATCTATTCCAATCATTTAAAGTAAGAAGTTGCTACTTCTACAGAAAGGTGACAGCTGGAAAACTCCCTTTGAATGTTTCAGTAGGACTTTTCCAGATGGATACTGAATCACCAGCTCTTCTGAATCCCTAGACCTGATCTCCCTCTAGTGTTTCAAGCATGGTCAATGGCTCTGTCAATGGCACATAGGTCCTGTGTGCCCAATGGCTCAGCCAGGATCTGGGAATGTTATATAAGCCAATTCCCCCGGCCGCCACTTCCTAAAACACACGCCATCAAACTGACCTTACATGAGATGTTCTTACCAAGGATACTTAGAATGCCTGTTTACTGGCTCAACGGGAGACTTACATAGATAAAGATGTTTCTGGGCATCCAGGCTAATTTTTTAGCCAACAGGGTATTTTTGTTGTCTTACACTGTTTCGGATGATAGAGTTGCAAATTCTGAAAACCTTCGTAGTCTCAGGTTCCTGGAGGGGTGCAATGTCACCTGACTGTGTGAAATATGCACATCCTTGAATACTAGTCCAAGTTGGAGATAGATGTATAATGAATTGTACTTACCTGATGGTACGTGCCTTACCACCTGATTTACACTCCAGCTCACCATGTGACACTGGGAATCAAGTAATCATGCCCTATCCACCCAGGTAAGGCTGACAAAGGAAAGCAGAATCAATTGACCACCATGATGGGAGTCCAAACTGAAAGTTCTGGAAAAACAAAACCTCTAATCAAATCTGTAGCTAGTGATTATGTAATGGGACACAGAAAACTGACTGGGTGCAATGAACATATTTCTGCGTCCACCAAAATTATAACTGAGTCTTCTAACAGTGACTTATATTTACATTGGAAGGTAAATGTTAAGTCCTGCTGCCTGAGATTTCCCCAGGTGGAGACTATGTCATATCTTAGCACGACATCATCTAAGTAAAGATGGGCCTCCACAGGCTGGCTGGAACTGTATAACCCCAATGTTAAGTGGGGTTTTAGGTGGTACAAGGGGGTATATGGAAGAATTAGTGAGCATATAGAGGGTTTGTACATGGACCAGGTGTGTGGCCCTGATTTCAGGCTTGGAGACAGAAATCCTAGCACGAACATAGTGGAGATTCTCCTGGTAGGAGAACACAGGGTGGGTGGGATGCTGTGGGAGTCAGTCTGGGTGTTCCAGGGAGACCAAAATGGAAAAAGCTATAGATGATCAGCACAGAAGGGAAACAGACTCTTGGCCTCCTATTTATGCTGTTTTCTCTGAGGAATGACAGACTGAGAGACAACAATTTACAATAGAGAAGATGCTGTTCCAGGGTGTGTGGAAGGTATCTGAGCTAATGCGTATCAATCACTTTTTGTGTGCCCAACACTCTTCTAAGAGCTTTGTTTATCTCAGATAATTTAATTCATAACACCTATGAGTTCTATTATTATCCTCATTTTGCAGATAAGGAAACTGAGGCACAGAATGTGAAGTGATTCGCCTACTATCGTAAAACTGGGACTTGAACACAGGCAGCCTGACTCCAGAGGCCATGTTTGCTAACCACTCTACCTGGTCCAGGATACATCCTACTGTGGGAGTATCATTACAGGCAGAGATTTAGCACACAGAGTTGGAAAGCAAAAGAAGGGAAATGTGGCAAAGAATGTGGCCTGTTGTCCTAAAGGAGCCCTTTGCAATCACTTCACAGTTGTTTGAAGTGACTTTTATAGGAAGAGGAGATGTCTGCTAACAAAACTAACGTTTAAATCTGACCAGTCAGAGTCCAGTGTTTCTTTTGGTCTAACTCATTTGAAATTTGGAATAATGTGCTAAGTTGGAAATCATCAAAATTTCATTATTTACCTCATAGAGCTAATTAAGATACTGTGTAATCAAGGAGAAGAGGACTATTTTCTTGGTATACTCTGCAAAACTCCCATTGCTGTGTGGAGTACAGATATAAACTTATCAAGTATTTGGGTATACTAATCTGACTCATGCAGTTGCCTTTAATTAATTAATAATTCAGGGATGCAGTCTTAACAAAGTAGTTAGTAAGTTGCCCAGTCCCAGTCCTGCTGAATTGTTTTCATGAAACGATACTATAAGCTTGAAATATGTCACTAAAATTATAAGAGAACTTCATTGGCATAACCATTCAGAGCTGGCACCATCTAGTAAAAAAATGATAACATTAGAATACATGGGACTAAATGCAGTTCAAGATAAATGGTTAAAATTATGGTTGTTTATAGCAATTTTTGGAAAAAGGCTTAAAACATGAGAATAGGGTTATGATGTTACAGTTTACAATTTGCTGGGTGGGACTGTGAACTAAAAATGTAATTATTTTAGTATTGCCTACGTTTTGTTCATTTTGATGTAGTATTAAATGTTATAGTCAACACGTACAAAATCAAAGAGAGAATTTTAATTTAGATAGTGACAGAAGGAGACCATGGTAATTTTTATAGGATAAAAATTTTGGATAAAGGATCTTGCAATACCCTTTATAGGGCAAATTTTGAAATTTTACTTTCTTAAATAAATGGTGGGGGAATTTTTTTTTTATTGAAGTGTAGTCTGTTATAATGTGTCAATTTCTGGTGTGCCGCATAATGTTTCAGTCATACATATAGATACCTATATTCATTTTCATATTCTTTTTTGTTATAGGTTACTACAAGATATTGACTGTAGTTCCCCATGCTATACAGAATAAAAATTTTAATCTATTTATATGTATAGTTGTTAGTATTTGCATATCTTGAACTCACTCCCAATTTATCCCTTCTCACTCCCTTTCCTGCTGGTAAGCATAAATTTGTTTACTGTGTCTGTGAGTCTGTTTCTGTTTTGTAGCTAAGTTCATTAGTGTCTTCCTTTTTCTTTTCTTTTTCTTTTTAGATTTCACATATGAATGATATCATATGGTATTTTTATTTCTCTTTCTGACTTATTTCAATTAGAATGACAATCTCCAGATCCATCCATGTTGCTGCACATGACATTATTTTATTCCTTTTATGGATGAGTAGTATGCCATTGTATAAATATATTCAATAACCGAGACATGGAAACAACCCAAATGTCCATCAACAGATGACTAGATAAAGAAGCTGTGGTATATTCATACAATGGGAATTTTAATATTATGCCTGAGTCATAACAAGGACAGCAGAGGCCAAGCTCCTAATGAAGAAGTTTTGCTGGATGAAGGAGCAGAGATGGATGAAGGGAAGAGAAGAGGACAGGCGTCAACTGGTAACGGGCAACTTGTTTTTCAGTAAAAATGTGTTTTTCTCTTTCTGGGGGAGTGGTAGCTACCTAGCTAAGTTCTCTCATTCATAGAGATTGCTTTGAAAGGAGTAATTGTGGAAATTGTTTCCTTGAGCCTGGTTGGCAGCACCTGGGCATGGATTATGGTGATGCCAGGACAGTATCTCTGTGAAATAGAATAGTTTAGACACTAGTCCATTGAGTCATCTTTATTTGGCCCTTTATTTCATCTAGAAATGCTTGCATTAAAAAATACATATGTAGGCAATCTTTTATCAACAAACAAAACATTCAGGTTCTTATTTGTAATTCATTTCTACTAGAACTTTTAATAGTAGGCCTCCTTCACTGAGAAAAAAAAATAGGAACATGCCACGAGACTAAATGAACAATAACAGTAATTGGCATTTTCTGTGAGGGCTTCAAGAAGACTTAAGCCAGGTCCCTGCCCTTAATGAACTTACAGCAGAGTTAGCAGATGATTAAATGTATGTAGCTCTTTCTATCGCAGTAGCTTTGTTTTCCAGAAGAAATTGTTCTGTCTGGCTTACTCAATAAGGGAGGTTGAATATGTTATTCTTAGATTTCATATTAACGTAGGAATGAAAGTATGAGAAGCCATTTTGTAAATATTTTAACACAAAGAGACCACAGGGAGCTACAAAGTTCAAAATCCTGTATTCTATTTTTAGCTTAGCTTAAGGAGCATTGATGAAAGCAATGTAAACACGTTAATAAGGACAACTCTTTATGTTTCTTTTTCTTCAGGTAAAAACAATTCAAAATGACCAAATAACCTCATAGACTAACCCAATTTTTTGTCTTCCTTTCTCTAGCTCTAGCAAGAAGTCCTTTACTAAGATTGTTGTTTTCCGACCGTCTCACACAAATTGTGGAATAAAAACCAAATAAAAGCACAGTCAAGGAAGTATTGAAACATCACGTTTCAACAAAACTAAATTGCACATTTCAGAAGAGGGACAGTTAAGCACTCCAAAGTCATTGAATCAGCAATAATTGTAGGGAATGGCCAGAGCTAGAAAGTCTACTATATGGACAAGACTCAGTTTACATATTTATTTTTCCCTATGAATTGACTATACTAGAAACTTGTGACTTTTTTTAATCGCTGCTTCCACAGATTTATACAGAATGTCATATTTGGCGATTGCCCCTGAAAATCAGTGAAAAAAGCAGCTCTATGTAGGGAGCAGAGCACTGCTCCCACAGACAACTTCAGTTCACAGTCCAACACCTGAATGTTATTGTGTGAGACTGTCATCCAGTCTCCATGATCTTTTTTTTGTAAGATGGGATTAAAATTACAATACTGCTTGGCCATAAAAAAAGAATAAGATAATGCCATTTGCAGCAACATGGATGCACTTGGAGATCATCATACTAAGTGAAGTAAGTCAGAAAGAGAAAGAAAATACCATATGATAATCACTTATATGTGGAATCTAAAAAATGACAAATGAAGTTATTTACAAAACAGAGACAGACTCACAGACATAGAAAACAAACATCTAGTTACCAAGGGGACAGTGGGGTAGGGAGGGATAAATTGGGAGTTTGAGATTTGCAGATACTAACTGGTATATATAAAATAGATGAACAACAAGGTCCCACTGTATAGCACAGGGAACTATATTCAATACCTTGTAATGCCCTATAATGAAAGGGAATATGAGAAGAAATGTATATATATATGTATAAATGAATCACTATGCTACACACCAAAAATTAACGCAATATTGTAAAGTGACTATAATTTTGAAAAACATTTAAAAAAAAGGTCAATGAGGCCTACTGGTACCCCCTCAAAAAAAAAAAAAACTACAATTTTTACCTTGAAGAGTTTTGCATGATAAAATGTGGGGAAAGTGTCCAGCACATTGTACATCATTAATAAATGTTAATCAATATAAGTCATTCTTCTAGAGAGTTTTCTCACAACTAATTACCTTTTTAAAAAGCAAGTTAATTGTTTCATGGGTGAATGCTCACTAGCATTCACTAGGAGAATTCAAAAAAGGGAAATTGTGGTTTCCATCCTTGATGTGTCATGATATCCCTTTGTTAGATGTATAAATATCAGTATTTCCCTTCTTTCTAGACAACCAGCCGGTGAGCAGCCTCCATCTGCCTTTGTCCCACCAGAGATGCTCATGTCACCAGGTTACGCAGGACAATTTTTTCAGCCAGCATCCAACCTGGATTATTATTCACAATCTTCTTACATTGACAGTTTTGATGAAGAGCCTCCTTTACTAGAAGGTAAGTTAAGGAAGTGCTATTAATGTGTGCACAGCTCAAAGAATAAAAGCAATAATCAGCACTTAATGTGCACTGACGGCATGCCGAATACCATGTTTTATGTGTGATTGTTCCACGTATAAACAAAGTCTGCCTAAACAGCATGCTTAAACCATTGGGAGTTCGTCTCATGTTTCTGTGGGGAGAATTAGAAGTAGATATGTGCTATCACTGTGCTAGTCTTGCAGTTTCTAAATGTTTCTTCACTGTTTCTTAAATGTGAACACCCTGGCCATATCTAGACAACAGTGAAGACATCTTTTGGCAGAATGACTATATCAGAGTAACCACCTTTCCTACCCCAGTGAATGAAGCTTCTTCATAACAGCATATTTTATTATTTTCTGCTATGTTTGCCTGGGAGCAAAGAGGGTAGTTTCTCAATATTGTTTTTTTGTTGACATGGAGAAAAGACAATTTTTTTCTCCTTCCTGGATCATATGAGCTGCCTCATCTCAGCCAGGTATGACTAAGTAGGGAGGAATTTGACTCCAATAAGAAGCAGTGATGGCAGCAAGGAAATGTGGGGACTCGTGCAGTTAAAGACTTCCCCCAAAGATTTCAGGGATCTTCCATCCATTGATTTTTTTTTAATCCAGCCAATTTACATCCCCTGATTTTGCTCTTAAACAATGTCAACATGATGCTAGAAATTGGTGCTAGAAAACTAAAATCCAAGAATTTTTTTTTCTAGCTCTCTTTTTTTAAAAAATTTTTTAGAATTGAAGTATAGTCAGTAACAATGTGTCAATTTCTGGTGTACAGCATAATGTCCCAGTCATGCATGTATATATATATATTTGTTTTCATTTTATTTTTCATTAAAGGTTATTATAAGATATTGAATATTGTTCCTTGTGCTATACAGAAGAAATTTGTTTTTTATTATATTTATATATAGTGGTTATCATTTGCCAATCTCAAACTCCCAAATTTGAGGGCCATTGAAAAGTATTCACAGGCTAACTGCTCTCTTTTAAATGGAGCCCAGTGGATAGGTTAAACTTCCCAATATTTTTACATCAAAAAATCATTGCTTGCTTCTTAGGAACACAGTCAGCCACCTGGCATTAAAACATTCTTCTCTCTTTGCCTTTAATATTAAAAAAAAATAAGGGAAAGATTTCTGCTATTCAGAAAAGCACAGAGAATTATATAATAGATTTGTTGGCTCTTTAGAAGCCAGTTAAGTTTTTGGATCAATTATGTTTAAGCAATTCATTCTAATTTGCCTCTGCATCTAATAAACCAACACCTGAAAATTATAAGCTATTCTTATTAAATGTTTTCCTTGACTCCACAAACATCTCCACTTACAAAAACTTACCAATTGTCTAATTATAAAAGTAAACTACATTCAATATAGGAGTTTGAAAAATATAGAAACATATGAATAAAAATATAAAAAATCACCTAAAATTTTGTCTCTGAGACATGACTACCATCAACAATTTGATGTAATTTCTTCCAGCCTTTATTATAATTTTATAAATATATATACACTTAAAATGAAATACTATTCTTTGAATATGTGCCTATTTATGAATACTTAAGAATGAAAGTTGGATCATACTAGGAATATAAATTTTTGTATTTTTGAAAGTTACCTTATAGACATTTCTATACATACGTTTTTAACATCATTAAATATCATTTGAAAACATGATATGTATAGTATTCTTCATAATATCTTATCATATACAAGGTTGTTCCTTTATAATAAATACCGCTTTGGTGAATATCATCGTAAACAACTTTGACCTGAACAGAATCTCTCCTTAGATCTAAAACATTGGGATTACTGGGTCAAAGGTATTTACACCGTCAAACTCATCCAGAAAAATGATGACCCCATACACCTCCAGAGTAGAATATGAAATGTCTTTGTTAATTTTATAGGCAAAAAGTAATACTTTGTGTTTCTTGGTTACCAGAAAATTTAGACCTTTTTCATATGTTTATTGACTGTTTTTACTTCTTTCTGTTTTTCCAATTCTTTGTCAGATTTCCTATTGAAATCTTAAGATTTTTTTCCTTTCCTATTTATAGAAATATTTATATGGTAACGATATTAATTATTATCTAGAATATGTATTTCAAACTTTTTTTTGCTAGATTGTGTTTGCTATCTAATTTGTTTATGGGACATTAGGACATATGGACATTTTAATATTTATGTTTTCAACTCCACAAAATTTTTGTTGATAGCTTTTCAATTGCTATTTAATTTAGAATATATTTCTCCAGTGTTAGCTACTGCTTATATCCTCTTGTAGATTCTTAAATTTTTAAATTATATTTTTGTTTTGCACTTAAATTTTTGATTCATTGAAAAATTTTTTAGGTTAGTATGTGAAGGAGGATTTAATTTAATTTTTTTCTTTAGTAATTAACCAATTTGTCCTGTAATGTTTATTGAAAACAATCTTTTGTTTTTTACTTGCCTGAAATGCCTCCATTCTGATATTCTAAACTACATCTTCCCCTAATGTCTCCTTGAATTTCAAATAGGAAATATACTAGGTTTTCCCTCCTACTTTAGATAGCTCAGAGAAATTTCTAGATTTTTTCTCTTTGTGATTATTCTAACCAAATGTATAGTGTATTAGAAGAAAGTATCTAATGTAATTTTGCATTTTGAGTCAATGAAATTTCTAGATTCTGATTCATGATGCTCTTCATGCTGGGTGATTTGTGAAAGCCTCAAGCTTCATCTGTCTAAAAGATATAAAAAAGCTTTAGGCAGGATTTCTAAGATAAGGTGATAAATGAAATTTACTAGTTTATATTGAGCATACACTAAAACAACCTATAAAATTATGAAGCTATAATAATTAACAGCCCTTACACAAAAACGTTATTTGAAAATGTGCTTGTTTATTCCTTTAATAATTTATTGTCTGAAAAACTAGTTCGGTTTTATGTAAGAAGGATAACTTGCTATTTGATAATGTACAATCAATACGTTAACAAATACATTTTGAAAAATAATAGTCAGTTCTGGTCTGTCAGACTAGAAAAATGACTGTGATATTTGGTATTTATACTTGTAGCATAGCTTGATGTTTATATTTGAAAGGCCAATGCCACAATTTGCATAGAAAACTAAGATACTAATTCACTTTTATAGCTTATATATCATATACTTTACTACCACTAGATGACAGCAAAACAATGAATTTTGCATTCAAATTTCACAGCAGTTTCATCTTTTATCTCATAAAGTAAGGTGTTATATTTGAGTATCTACAATTAATAAATACGTACAATCTCACTTGCATACTTTGCAGCAAATTTGAAAACAAAATATTATGGAGATGTATTTTGATAAAAACATAAAATCTTTTTTCTTATGAAAATATTTAGTAGAGCTGATGTTCACTCATTGTTTCATGATTCAATGTTGAAACATGTGCAAATGTTAATTATGCCATCAAATAAATGGTTGAAATCAGTAATAATGTCTCATAAAGCATTTTCATCTGGATTTCTTCAGGAATAATTATGCTTTTGAGGAAAAGGATACTTTGAAGTAAAAGCCACTTTATTGTGGTAAATACTGAAAATATATTGTTAACAAAATGTCTAAATTGAAAATAAAATTTGAAAAGCACATAAGCTTCAGGTGAAATTAATTTAGATTACAGCATGTCTCAGTTTTTAAAGTCTGCTATTCTAAAACTCACATTAGACATTCTAACCTATTTTAAGCTTGGTTAACTAACTGCTTATATTCTCCAAACTGTAATTTCACTAAGAAATACAAATATACTGTAAAAATAAAAGGGGAAGTTGAAATGTAAATGATTTGCTATTAATTTACCCAGTCAAATTCTTTCTTTGCAAGCATGGATTGGATAGCAGTTGTCAACCTAGTTGTGAAAAGAGTGGTTCAGACCAGGTTCAGACCATGTCTGGCTGACCTTCTGAAAATGTCTAGGTCCCTGTTAGAACATGGCTCCTCTATGTCGTGGCCATCATTGAAAGTCCATCTGAGATTCTGTGTGTAGAATGGCAGCTTTGTAAGGTGTTTAGTTGGTATATACCACTGTAAAAGAAGTTGAACTATACCCTGTCTCTGAGCAAAGAGTGTTACTAAATCCTGAGAAGGAAAGTTGAATGCCACGTACAAATGATTTAGGGAGACAATCCTTCATGTAAGAGAGTTGGGCTCACTTAAAAAATATACAAACATCATGAGATTAGATGCACATTGACTTGACCACAGCTTTGTGGTTAAAAGCATTGTTCTTTTTTTAAAAATTTTTTTCGTATCCTTTCATGAACCACTTTCTATTTCCCCTACTTCTAGCCCCTGGCAACCATTTTTCTACTCTTGACTCTATCTATTCTACGTACAAGTGATACCATGCAGTATTTGACTTTCTCTGTCGGTCTTAACTTAAATCACTTAGAATAATGCCCTCAGGTTCCACTTGTGTTGTCACAAATGGCAGGATTTCCTTTTTTAATGACTGAATAGTATTCCATCATGTATATACACCACAACTTTTTCATTCGTGCATCCATCAATGGACACTTAGGTGGTTTCCATCTCTTGGCTATTATACATTATCCTGCTGTCAATACAGAGATGCAGATATTGCTTTGATATCCTGCTTTTGTTTCCTTCAGATATATTCACAGGGTGGCATTGCTGGTTCATATGGTAGTTCCGTTTTCTTTTTTTAATTTTTGAGGAACCCCCACACTATTTTCCATAGTGGCTATACTAATTAACACTCCCCAAAACAGCATACAGGATTCCCTTTTCTCCACATCCCCATGATCTTAAGTGTTTGATGTTAAGCCATTCTAACATGTGTGAGATGATATTGTGATTTTGATTTGCATTTCTCTAATGATTAATGGTGTTAAGCAACTTTCTATATACCTGTTGGCCAGCTGGATGTCTTCTTTGGGAAAAATGTCCATTCAATTCCTCTGTCCATGTTTTAATTGGATTTTCTTCCTTCCTTCCTTCCTTCCTTCCTTCCTTCCTTCCTTCCTTCCTTCCTCACTCTCTTTCTTTCTCTCTTTCTCTCTCTCTTTCTTTCTTTTGTGATTTCTTGTGTCAGATTCTCCAGTGCCAGAACCTAGATTTTCTGTTACTAGCTCTGTGATTTTGAACAGCTACTTAATCTCTCAAAATCTCAGCCTTCTGATGCACAGAGTAGAAACAAAGTAACAGTACTAGCCTCATTGCATGGCAGCAAGACCAATGCATGTAAATCATGTAGGGCTCCCAGCAAAATTCAGTAAAAACATTAAGTAAAAATAAGTTCCACTCTCTTTAGTTGAAATATGCACTTTATAGTAGTTTAGCTCCAGTTTTTCCTAACCTCCGCCTCACTCTTATTTAAATTTAAAATGATAGAAGGAGGGTAATCAGCTTGATTATTGGTTCCTAAACGTGAATTTATGTTCTTCTTCTTTATGAATTTTTTTTTCTTAGTTTTTTCCTGCTCAGGATGCATCTTAGTTTATGGGAGTGGTGAGAAAAGTAACTGATGTGGTGTTGGTATTTATTTCCATATTCAGTGAATGTCAGATGACTGGGATACTTTTTTTTTTGAAATAAAAGACATACAAGAGGAGCAGAATCTAGCAGAGGGATCTGTAAGGTGGCAGACAGAATTCTTTGAAAAAAACAAGGCATTGGAAAAAAACTTAGAAATTTCTGAATAAGTGTGGACTCATGGACACTGGGCCTCACTGATTTTGGATATTTAATCTACCATCACCCCTCATGAAAGGGAAAGGTTAACTTGGCTCAAGAACTTAATCTCTGGATACACAGACTCAACAACACAGAGCATTGGCCTTATTAAAATGTATGTACACATCATGATTACTTTCATTTGCTGAAAGAGCCATTGACTTTGCTAGGTGGAGTTTCAGGCAGTTAGCAAAGAGTTGCTCTTCTCACCAGGCAGGGTGGAAGGAAAATCCCAAACCTGGACTAACTATCTTTAGTTTAGTTCACACAGCTAACTGAAAAGTATGCATGTTTGATATGACAAATTTTCTAAAGTATTAGCTAGAGAAAATGCAGGAAAAGGAAAGGTCTAAATAGGTGATAAGATGGGACTTTCAGTTTGTTAGCTACCATTTAATTTTATTTTTTACTATAGAATGTCCATTTCCTCTTTTTGGCTCTATTTTAAGCTTGTATTTGCTACATAAGGCAGGGAAATTTTCCTTGATGGAATTACTTCTCTAAAATGTATCTTTTAGCTCATTGTGTGGGGAAAAAGCCATTTTTTAAGTTTGCTATATATTACATACAACTTTATGAAGGTATAACGATCAGATTAAAGTTCCAAGTAAATGAATCATATATGTCAACTTCAATTAAAGAATTTTACTCATATTTGTTTTTCTTTATTTGTATTATCTCTTTCTCTCTCTCTTTTTTTTTCTATGCAGAACTTGGAATTAATTTTGATCACATATGGCAAAAAACCTTGACAGTGTTAAACCCACTGAAGCCAGCAGATGGCAGCATTATGAATGAAACAGACCTCACAGGGCCCATCCTGTTTTGCGTTGCCCTAGGAGCCACGCTACTTCTGGTAATGGACACCAGCAAGCATCAGATCTTTTTTTTTTTTTCTTTTTTTTTAAATTGAGGTAACTTTGACTTATAACATTATCTAACTTTCACATGTACAACATTATGGTTCCACTTCTGTATACGCTACAGTGAAGTATCAAACTTTAACGCATGCCCTTTCGAATGTGATTTTTGAAGAGATCTTTGTAAATATAGAAGAAAGCGTGTCACTTTACAAGGTGAATATTGTTTAGCTCATAACTACAATTTTTTTTTTGAGAGAGACATATTTAATGGAAACATAATGACAAAGAGAAACTTCCATCACTTATTACAACAGATGAAAAAAAAGGTAAATTTAAATAGAATTTCAAAAAACAAATCACCAAGTCAAAATTTCAACAAAGCAGGAAATCATATAAATGATTTTCCTGTTATTAAATCTTTCTTTCTATTAAGAAAAGACTATCAATCCCCAAAAGTTGGAGGAACATATGGATTTGGGAGAGAGAAGATCTAAATTTTATTTCTTGTTTTCTGTAAGATTTCTGTTGTGACACTGGACAAATTCCTTCTCTTTACTCATCCTTTTCTTTGATGGGGTGTACCTCTAGACTATTTCAAATATTCTATGAGGTATGAGATAAGTCTCCTTGTTTCTGGCTATGCTACTACGAATAAATTGACTTGCAGTGATAACCAGTGATTTGTTTATTCAAACTGTATATTTCCCCTATCATTTTAGTTTTCTGTTTTTTTAGGAAGGTATTTCTCACCCCAGCGAACTTCACTATTTGCCTTGTGTGTGAGCCTCATTCACTTTTTTTAAAAACTTTTTTTTATTGAGTTATAGTCATTTTACAATGTGTCAAATTCCAGTGTAGAGCACAATTTTTCAGTTACACATGAACACACATATATTTGTTGTCACATTTTTTTTTGCTGTGAGCTACCACAAGATCTTGTATATATTTCCCTGTGTTATATAGTATAATCTTGTTTATCTATTCTACATATGCCTGTCAGTATCTACCAATTCTGAATTCCCAGTCTATCCCTTCCTATCTCCCTCCCCCTTGGCAACCACAGTTTGTATTCTATGTCTATGAGTCTGTTTCTGTTTTG